ATTTATATACGTCGGTTTTTAAAATATACCATTGATGTGCTATTTTATTTATATCCAATAGGTCAACAATATCTTTTTCTACTCCCAATACAATTAAAGAGTTTAATCTCTCATCAGAAATTGTTGACCTAAGATGTGTTTTAATCAATTTTAGTTTACTAAAAGATCTTTCGTTTGATGCGAGTATGCGACTGTTACAAGAGAAGTCAATGCTAAACGACAAATTTGATTAGCACATGGTAAAATATGATTTACTTCTTCTGCTTTTTCCATTAAAGAATTAAATGGTAATGTTCTATCTTCTATTATGTATAATACTAAAACTGTCCTCGGAAATTTGTTTTTCGAATTACTATTACGACAAAGAAGGAAAGAGAGAAAAAAAGACACGAGTACTTGCCAGGCCCTGATTTACGCATGTGCAGAGGGAGCATTTGCACTTAGCCCTCAATTTCTGGGGGCCCCCGGTCTCTGTATGTTGTAGAATATTGTTTTTTTAAATTAATTCCACAAAAATGTATTTTGTAAAATGTAATACCAACTGTCAATGTTCAGAGTTCAGTATATTTGTATCATTAAATTGTCAGTTTTTGTAATTGTCTTTGTAGTTTTTAAACTTTTTTATGATAAAATGGTATAAAAATAGAAATTATAGAAATTGATCATTTTTTATTTCATTTTAATTATATAAAATAAATTATTAATTAATAAGTTATTTATCATTTTTATAATTTTATGGAAGATTGAAAATTAATTATTTTAATTTAAATTCATATAAAAAAATCCTTAAGCATTTTTAATATTTTAATATATTATAATTTTGTTATGTTATTTAATTAGTATTATCTTTTCAATGTCCTTAATTTACTAGACCAAGTAACTAAAGTGTATTTATAGTACATGAAATAATTTACAAATATTTTATGAGTTTTTAGATAGGTTTTAACACTTTTAACATATAAATATTTTTTTTATTATCAACATCCCCCCTCTTTTTGATATAGATTTTTTCTAAAACATTTTTTTACTTGGGGGCCTCCAAAAAAATTGTGCACTTGGCCTTAATTTTATTAAACCAGGCCCTGGTACTTGCGGTGACCAATACTATAGAGTTTCGAAATCGGTAAGTGGTAACTATACATTTTTCTGTAAGATCAATCTACACTGATATGACTATAATACTACATTATGTAATACTACATACTACATATGTATTTGATTGATAAAATGAAATAAACAATTATATGATGGTATCCCATACAATTTATTGCACCATAAAATAACAATAAATTAATGGTGCGATGAAAAAAAGACACTTTGAGCTCGGATTATGATTTATGTTGCGATTTTACTTTATATTTTATGATGGTGAGTTTAAGAACGTATGTATATCTCCAAAAAGCGAGAGATATCTATTATCGTGACTACTTAATTGTTAAGTAGGTAGGTACTCAATTGACACTGGTCTTATGTATTTTCTTGTTTGCAATCTACTGTTTAGATTTGTTCATTAGAAGTATCAGTAGTAAAACCATATGCAACCTGTTTAAAAGAACTGCAATAGTTACAAATGCTCACCCAATACAACTGCTCCACACCACAGCAACAACAACAAAATAAATCTTACTACCAACACCCCTGATCCCTGATATAACAACTTCCATTCTGGATACGCCGCCCAGCGATATCATAGAATCTTATATCACACTAATTCGTACATAAGTTATATATGTAGGTATACATGATGGGACGATAGGATTATGATCTAAACTCTAAAGTCAGTATACTGCAGATTGCAGAGTGCGCAGACCTTGGTGGCAGGGAATGCAGGGGAATCAAGTGTTTATAACCAAATAATAATGTATTATAAAATTAATCAATGTATCATACATGTCGTAGCACAGTATTATGTAGTTACTCGTTATACTAATTGATTTGTGAAATAGCTGTAGACAATTTGTCAATAGGTTTATAATGAAATCGTAAACTGTATTATTGTAATATTGTTCTAAAGCTAGACCTAACTGAAAATGTATAATAGACAAATTGAATGGTAATATAATTTGTTAATATTATTATTTATCCAAGGGATAATATTATATGATAACTAGGGCCCGGTGGGGTTTGGTGGTTAGTGACTTAAGTGGACTGAAGTCAAGCCTCAAGCATCAGCCGGCGTTGCTGTAGTTCCCAGATGGTTGAACACCCGGTTTTTAGTGATAAATCCTCTCACAGTCTCACCACATACCTACGCGTGTTCCTCAACCAACCGTAACCTCCCTACACAATTCTAACGGTCATAGTTTAAGATCAAATATATTACAGTAGAACTTCCATATAACGGTCACCGAAGGGACTGTAAATAATGACCGCTATTTAGAAGTGCCCGTTCTACAGAGGTAGGATAACACTAGGATAACCCTCGACGGGACCAAAAAAATTGACCGTTACATAGAGGTGACCGTTAACGGAAGTTATACTGTACATGACAAATATATTACATGACAAATTAGTTGTTGATTATTATTATATTCTAGTCGTAAAAAAATTTAAAATTTAAATATACCTATTGTGAAATTCTAACTGGTGTAATCGAAAAAGTGTAATAATAATTATACGATTATGATCGTGACTATTTCCTAGGGTTATTATTATATTCATAAATCTTAATAATTATTTATTTAAGGAACAAAAAAAAATGTAATTTCTTTTTCGAATGTGAGTAAATTGATCATAGAGTGTAGGACAAATCCTCGCATTATAATGTATATAGCTAGGTTATTGTTAATTAAGACCACAAATAGTTCATCTGTAGGCAAGAAAATCAAATCAGAGAACTACTAAACTCACGTAAAACGCTTATTGGTGTTTAAATATATAAATAAATAAATTATTGTTCTTAATATAATAGCTACCAATTACCATACTAATAGCTTATAATGGTAATCATATGTATCAATAAATAAAAAAAAAATCGAAAACTGTTTTTATGTATAGATTGCCAATATATAATATAATTCTTTCATCAAATAATTTATTAGGTAGATATGTGTATAAATATAAACTTTTTTTTTGCGTCCAGTGTTGTAATGTATCTTATTCATAAATACATTTTTAAAACATTATACCTTATCTTTTTATACGGGGACAGTGACACCGTAGTTTATCACCTTCATCAGGTTAGGTCATCTTTATACTATCAATAAGAACGGAATAAAAATAAAATACCTATTATAATATATACAGAGTGATTCGCCAAGTATGCTTAACCCCATTTTATCATTTAAAATTGCATTTCTTAAAATTCAAAAATAGGAATTTTAAAATATACTAAGACTATATTGTTTTCAAATACTTAGATTTTATTCGTTTGTCTTGAGGCAATAAACATTAATTTTTTTGTTATTTAAATCTTCTAATTATCTTCTAAATTTTGAGTAGATGCCCGATTATATTTTTGAAAACGTTGATGATGTGTACACGTTTATTATGTAAAATTTTAACGAGTAGTTCTTAGCTATTAAGCTGTATGTATAAATGATAATAGTCCTATTCATACGAAATAGTTGTAAGTACCTAATATATTTTAATTTAGTACCTACTATCATAGTTATTAATTATTATACTCGGACAACTTTTACAAATTACTAAATGTTTATAGATTGTTAATAATTTACAAACATTTCACATTATTAAAAGATAAAGGGGATGGATGAGAATGATTGGTGAATCACTCTGTATGTTATATTATCATAACAGACATACATAGGTACACCTATGTACCTATATAATATATATTCACAATTGTTCCTAACCACAGTCGCGTAGATCATTTGGACTAGTCGACTCGGTAACTTCTCCCGTGTTTGGTTAGCGCGTGTTCGAGGTAATTCCGGATCACGTGATTTTGTTTTTTTTATTATACGTTTCGACTTCTTGTTTGTTCAACGCAACTATATATTTCTATTGTTTTCGATTTATAAATTGCACATTGATATCCAATTGGTGTACTACAACTTATGATATTATATTATCTGCCGGAAAGTCAGGGTTGATTAACATGTCTTACTCGATCACATTTTGAGTGTATATAAAACAAAACTGATAGTCAAACATCGGTGCAGTTGTGATTGATGGAATCATAAAACAATAAGTGAGTGCACGTACCGACCGATATAAGAAATATATTAGAAAATAATTAGATATTGTAATTGCCGGTTGTGCAGATGTTCGTCTAAAGTTGTTGCTTTTATCGCGAATATCGATAACATTTAAAACGGTTTTATAGTTACTATAGGTGTATAGGTGCGTATATATTTTTTGATTTTAATATGTTTGATAAGTCTTTGTACAGGTTTAAACTGTGTTAGTAACAGTTATACTATAGCCATATTTTATGTTTAAATTTTATCTTGGAATCAGTGTTAAGCACTAAATTTATAAAAATTATCTCTTGCATCACTTTTCGATTAGGATTTCGTTATAATACATGAAATATAAACACATACTTATAACTACCTTAATTACTATATGTTTCCATAAAAAGTCTGTTTTATATGATTTTAATAATAAATAATATTCATAAATAATATTATTCAATAATTATATAGGCAACTTTTAGTAAAAGTAGTAATACAATTATAAGCATACTAAAAAAAAAATAAAGTCTTCTAAATAAATATTTCATATTTTAGTATCCAAAACTCTTACTTGTCATAAGTACCTATTTTATTCATGGCTAGGCTAACAAGAATTCCTGAAAGAGCATAATATTGATTATTTTGATATGACTATTATTATTTGCGTTTAGATTGAAAAATGTTCTACTTACTTTATTATAACTGTACGTTATACGTATACCTAAATTCTTACTGATTTGGAATAAATATTTTTACGTACCTTTACAGCACGGAGTACATATTATTATATTAGGGCATAATTACTAATCAATAACTTTCTAATCTAATTTGTATACCTAGGTGTTTTTAAATAGAAGAAAAATGGACAATTGGAAGAAAATTTCGTTTTTGGTCGGTGTGTTTGCATTCATAAGAGAATTTCGACCCATCGAACCATTTTATGCTGCGTACATGACTAGTCCTTACATTAATTGTACTGTGGAACAGGTAATGCATAAACTTAAATTATTTAAATATATATTGTTTAATCGTCTTTTAGAGAAAAGTAGCTTATACTTAATTTCGACTTGTTTGTGTGAAAATAAAACCAAAATATATAATTGTTTTGAGGTTCATTGAAATTTTATTGGATTATTTAAACAATAATATATAGGTAGATACTCAAAATTGTCTATAGACCCTTTCTAATATATTCAACATTTCTTTATTATTATATACCCTGGCTTAACACCGGTAATATTTTTCATTTGTTTGGCTGATGTTCTATGAAAAAATGAATTGTGGTAATCAACATAATTAGATATATCTAATGTATACATCTGAAATCACATAAATCATAAACAATTTAATAGGTAGCAATATATATTTTATATGATGTACAAACATTCGAGAAGTCTTAAACATGTTTGTCTTAAGCATAAGGATTAAGACTATAATCATATACGCTCGCACGGGACACATTGTGGCAGATGAAGTGGTTAGCTCAAACCACTCCTGGACCAAACTAATATTTTATAAAAAAAAAATATAGCATAATATATTATTATAACTAGAACTTATTTTATCTCATTATAAAATTCAATAAAATTAGTTTTTCTTAAATCGTAAAATTTGATTGAATTAAGAAACTTTTTTGTTCGTAATACCTATTGTACCATTTTAGAGGAGATAATATTATAAATACATTTTATACAATTTTCTTTCTTCTTTTTATTTGTGTATGTAATCATTTTTTTTTTTTTTGTATCATGACTAAGTACTTAAAATTTTTAAATAAAGTAAATTGGAAATTTGATATAATGTACTTAATATTTTGAACAGCAAAACAGTAAATATCATACAATTACAATTTGTATTTTGTTAGTCATTATACTCATTATACACATATACCTAATATAATATTATATGAATTCATTATTCTTACGTACCTATATGAGTAATAACCAGTACTCCTAAGTTCTAATAATATAATTATTCAATAAAAGAAATGTTATTGCTGGGAAATGTAGGTTTAGGGATGGTGTCTAATATCTACAATTATTTTTTAACTCCAGGGATATAAAAACATTTCAACACCTATTTAAAATGTTCAAAAATGTTTAGTTTAATAGACAAAATAGTCGATAGTGGATTAAAACAAAAAAAAAAAATGATGAAATAACGCAATTGAATACCTAGGTAATTATTTATGTAGGTAGAACATTATAAATTCTCATTATAGTATTACACTCAACTACTCAAGTAACAAATTATTTATAGGCAATAGGCATATAATAGCATTTTAATACAAATCAATTCTATAAGAGGTTTAATTAATATTCATACTTAAGTATAATATAGTTCCTGAAATGTCTTTCATTGTTAATCGTATTTTAATTCAAAATATTGTATGATCAATATTTATATTGAGTTATTCATTGTATTCAAATAATCTTTTTATAGACACAAATCGTCAAGTTAAATTTGTTTGAATCTATTGAATATTAATTTCAATAGTTTAATAAAAATAAAACACAATGTAGTAATTTTGTTTGTTTCTCATTTTTAATTGAAACAGTAGCTGTTAAATTAAAAACCTGGTAAATATTTTCCATAATAATTACTATAAGCAATTTGTTAAAGTCGAATTTAAAAATTCAGTTAAATCCTCAGTTCTCTACCATAAATGTTCATACATCATACGAGTATACAACTTGTTCAAATAATCATTTTATTAAAATATTAGTAAAGTAAATTATTTTTACATATTGTATAATATACGTATGTATATATACGTACTTATTATTATTTACATGTTTGTAAACTAAATAATAATAAAATATTATTATATTATCATAGCTAAATATATATTCACTTAACATACATTATTTTATGGGTAACAAATATTTAAATATATATAAAATAAAATAATTATAACCTAACCTATCGTAATAATATATAAAATATTGTATAAACTTTAAATAATTGACTGAACCAGTATTGTAAGACTTAACATAACCAGTAACCATACACCGATTAAGCATATGTATTGATGTGAAGGTATTGAAAAAAGAATAGTATGTTTAATTATTCATGATAATTTTAAATAAAAAATATAATGATAAAATGGTTAAATTAATATAAATATTACGTACCTATTCTGTATTTAATCGATAGATATGAAATTTAAAAACCAATTAAATGCACTACAAAAACTTATAGAAATTTAATTTACTTTATAAATTCGCTAAGCAATATCATAATGAGAATAAATAAAGCTAATATGTACTAATAACTTATCTTCTTTGGTAGGTAGTTATTAATGAACAATTGAGTTGGTTTTTTTTTATCGAATTAAAACTAAATTTTATATAATCTCAAATGGCACGTGACAAAATGTTGGTTAATGATAACATCAAATTTTGTTTAAATCCTTTTTTATATTCTGAGTGGAAAATGAATGTATTGATTTTACAGTGATGTGTGTTTTTTTTTATTTATTTTTGTGTTTGTGTACACGATAAGTAGTCGAAATAATGCTTCGATTTTCAACTTCAGTATCTTGTTCGATTGGAAAGTGAATATCGTTGGTGCGTTGAGGAGGTCAAAATTTAAAATTCACAGCAGTTTTCAAAAGCGCCAAGAAAAACAAAAGAAAAATTAAGGAACAACGGGAATTTTTACGTGGTGTAATTTTTTGGTGTAACTTTAAAACAAATTACTGTAGATACATGAAATTTTCACTGGTTGTTTATATTTGCATTTTCTATACACGTTAACATTTTCAAAATATTTTGATTTATTTTGAACTGTTTAGGGACATTATCAGTTTCCAATTTTATTAGTTTTTTTTTTATGAATATCAATAAAATTTTATTTGTTGAATAAAAATACTTGAAAATTTAATGATGGCTCCTAGGATATTGTTTCAAAGGCAAATGGAAATATTAAAAATCTTTAATCACAGTTTTCTTTTATAAGCATTTAAAGTTCAAAAATTGACAAAATATGGAAAAATCACGAATATTAGCAAATTATTTTGAGTCATGAATTTGTAAAAATTTTTCTTTTTAAATCTAAGATTTTAAAACTGAAGACAAGATTCCTTATAAGATTATCTACCTTTATCAAAAAAAAAATAAATAAATGTAAGAAACTCAAATTAAATTTTTATGAGAGTTTGAAATTCAAATTTTTACAACATTTTTCATATACCTAGCGATTTTCTTATTTTGTTGTAATTAAAAAACAAATAACTGTAGATACATGAAAATTTCACTGAATGTTTAAATTAGCATTTCCTATATTCACCATACAATTTTGAAAATATTTTGACTCTTTTTGAGCTGTTTACAGACATTTTCAGTTTTCAATTTTTTTAGTTTTTTTTCTATAAATATCAATAAAGTTTTATCTGATGGGCCAAAAAGTGTAAAAATTTAATACAAGGCTTCTGATATATTGTCACAATAGCAGTTGAAAAATATTAAAAATTTATATTCACAATTTTTTTTATAAGCTTTTATCGAATTTTGACAAAATTTATCAAATTTAAAATTGAATAATTATTTTGTAGTTAAAAATTTATAAAATGTTCAACTTTTATATCTAAGGATTGAAAATGTAAAACAAGATTCCACTTAAGTAGTTAATTCTGTAACCAAAAAATCTAAAAAATACATAGACACAGTTTATTTTTATAGTCATTTGAATTTCAAATTTGGACGAAATTACATAATAAAAAACCTAGAATAACTATTTTAGTTATTTTGTTGTGATTGTATAATATTATTTGTGAGTACTTGAAACTTCTTAAGTACACTATTATATATCTATGGTAGTATCAGGGTTTGTTGTTGATGTAATGATGTATAACGAGTTATAAGTACCTAATGGATATTGTGATATGATTAATTTGGAAATTATTTTAGGTCAATATTTTTAATACCATAGATAACTATATAATATGTCTTATACGTAGACTGACCACCGTTTCAGGCAAACCTCTCAGAATCCTTTTTCTTATACAATGATATTATATCATTGAATTCAAATTTAATACCATTCATTATACAGTGACCCACTTGTAACCTACTGTACAGCAGAGCACCTTTTTTTTAATCAAAATCCAGAAAGCTTTAACAAATATTTAGTATTTACCAATGTTAAATGCAATCAATGAACATTTTCAAATATAACTGACATAGTAGTTAATACCTAATTATTATAATGTCGCTCATTTACATATCTACAATCAAATATATTGTATATTATATTTATTATTTATATATTGTATTAATTAACATGATTGTACACAGGAAATGTATAAATACAAAATGTGAAGAATATTAAATGTGAACTTATAACTAATCAAATTTTTTTTATATACATAGTGTCAAAAATCAGAAAATAATAATTATATTCAGAATTATTTTATACAACAATGTTAAATTTTATATTTGTATGTTACCTAGGTATATCTATAAAGTTTAAATAATTGTATGGTCTTGTAAGAAGACATGCACATGCAGATCAATGCACATCTTTATTGGACATTCATACAAATTACAATATATCCAACGTTTGTTTTAAAACAATGGGATTCTGATTTAGTCTAGACGAGTATATCAATTTTTGATTATATGTAGTATACAATGAATACATAGTCTTATCTGTAATTTTTCGTACAACATTTCTCATAAAATTTGTCTGATCAATAGGCAGAAACAATAATTTACACCTGTATACATAGTGTCGCAGTTTTTGATTGATACCTATACCTAATATTATTAATTACACATCTGCGTGCAATATGCTTTCTACTTTCTAAAGCTCTAGTCCAATTGACAGAAGTTATTAATTAAATTGTATGATATGCGATTACCTACATTATATAGATACCTACATTTTATATAAATCCAATCAATTTGTAAATTATGTTAATATTATAAAAAGTCAAATATTATGTAAAATAGTGTTCGATTCTGTTCAAAAAAATTTGTTCAAATAACAAGTGTTTATAGTTTACCTAATATGTCTACCTAATATAAATCTAAAATAAAATTACAATTGCATTTTTAGGTACCAACAGAGCTCTATGCTGTGGGATCATATTCTATGTTTGTGTTGATTATTATCATATTTTTGGTAACGGATTATGTCAGATACAAACCTGTACTAATCATCGATGGAATTGGCGGAGTACTTCATTATATGGCCATAACAAATCGTCCTTCAAAATTCAGAATACAGGTAATTAATTAATTAATTTTGTTATGTTGTATTAAATTGTATTAGGAATTAAATGTAATTAAAACTGACATCATTCAGTCATAAATTATGTCTTTCATTACTCATTACTCATTAGGTAAGCCTCTTTAAATGTTTGATCGCCTTTTCACATATATTGATTAGAATATTACTTAAGTGAAATATGAAATATAGATATTACAGTACATTGCAGATGATGAAATACGAAAAGATTTGCACTTGTTAATTACACGCTTAGGATTACGTAATAATCAAGAATTAAAAAAATATTAATAACATTTTTCGTAAACTAAAAACAAAATATACCTACAACATATCTAATTATAGTTTATACATAATAAATCATGAGCTATTTAATTTGTTTACTTTTTTGAAAGACAACATACATGTTGGGTAGGTATTGTTATAATAGTAAAAGAATACACTAACTTTCAAGCAATATAACGGGTTTGAATAATAAATGATGATTATAGATACTAGATATCTAAACCCCTCAAAGTCTTAACATTTTGGATTTCATTGTATGGGTGGATGAATTATAAATACTAATAATATATTTTACAGAAAAATATTGTAAGCTAATTGTCTTATACTATCGTGTAGTATGTTTTAACACTTAATTTAATTTAAAATTAAAATTATCATTATTTTGATAAAAAATAAAGTCTATTTAATATTATATTAAGAGGACGTGTCACCCAAAGCTGTACGCATGCAACGACCGAGAGGATGCGCTGTTAGGTGTTTTCACGATCCGCAAGCGCGCGGCGTTTAAGTCACGCCTACTATTCGCAACCGGCCGACGGCGGCGACGAGTGCTCGTTCGGGACTTCGGGAGCGCCGTTTATTTGTCTATGAACCTTCGTCCAGTACCATTCGTATCATTATATAATTCATTATACGCAAATGCCGCCGTAATATTTTCAATACCCTCGCGTACCTACGAACTACAGATTATAAATTAAGATACTGTTTACTTAAATTTATGTCCCAACATATAGATCGTAGAAACTGTATTATAACATAGCTTGAATTGAAGTTATTGAATTATTACTTATTTAAATATAATACTTATTGTAAAATCTAATAAATGGTAAATAAAATAAATACAGCGCAATTAAATTAATATTAATTTACCGTGTATTATTTTTTAAGTTCAACTGTTAATGTTATATTAAAATATGATAATAAGTAATTACAAATATTTATTTAAATTAACAATATGTTTGTAGTAGGTATACCTAATATAGTAATATAATAATTATAGGTAATCTACTCGTAATGATAATAATAATACTCTAAAATCTTTATTTATCATTCTGTAATTTTTAGAGATCGGGTACATTGACTGAGAAAAATAACTAATTTAAAATGTATAGTTGTAAAATATAATGATAACAAATTGTAACATAAATTTATTAAAAAATTATTTCTATAAGTAACTGTTAGTTTAAAATTACCTACTATACAAACTACTATATTATAAGTATTACACAATCCAATGAATTACAGTTTATCAAATGGATAAAATCAATAAATAGATTTAGTATGTGACCTATATTATTTATCATCACATTTATATTTAAAAAAGAAATTATAATCATATTACCTATATTAATATAATAAAAGGGTAACGCGCAACAATTTCCTATTATTTAACCATGAAAAAAAATAATATTAGTTCAACAAGTATAATATAGTTTATAGTTTTCTTTTTTTCTTTTTTTTTTTGTGTCTGTGTACACGATAAGTAGTAGAAATAATGCTTCGATTTTCAACTTCAGTATCTTGTTCGATTGGAAAGTGAATATCGTTGGTGCATTGGGAGGTCAAAATTTAAAATGCTCAGTAATTTTCAAAAGCACCGGGAAAAACAACATAAAAATTAAGCAAAAACGGGAATTTTTACGCAAAATCGATTTTTCACAAAATTGAATTTAGTTTTTGGTGTAACTTTAAAAAAAATGACCTTAGGTACATGAAATTTTCATTTTGGTTGTTTATATTTGCATTTTCTATATACGATAACATTTTCAAAATATTTTGATTTATTTTGAACTGTTTGAACAGGGACATTTTCATTTTCCATTTTTTTTTAGTTTTTTTTCTAGAAATATCAATAAAATTTTATTTGTTGGTTAAAAAAGCTTGAAAATTTAATACAAGGCTCCTAGTATATTTTTTCAAAGCCAGATGAAAAATATTAAAAATCCTTAGTCACAATTTTTTTTTATTATAAGCATTTAAAGTTAAAAAATTGACAAAATATGGAAAAATCACGAAAATTAACAAATTATTTTGAGTTAAGAATTCGTAAAAATTTTTCTTTTATTTCTTAGATTTTTATTTCTTCTTTTTCTAAGATTTTAAAATGTAATACTAGTTTACTCATAAGTTTGTCTACTTTTAACAATAAAAAAATTTCTACCGGAAAGTCAAATTAAATTTTATGAGCGTTTGAAATTCAAATTTTTACAACATTGGATATTCACTCGATTTCTCATGTAGCGATTTCCTTATTTTGTTGTAATTCAAAAACAAATAACTGTAGATACCTACATGAAAATTTCCCTGAATATTTATATTAGCATTTCCTATACACCATACAATTTTGAAAATATTTTGACTCTTTTTGAGCTATTTACGGAAATTTTCAGTTTTCAATTTTTTTAGTTTTTTTTTCTATGAATATCAATAAAGTTTTATCTGTTGAGCCAAAAAGTGTAAAAATTTAATACAAGGCTCCTGATATATTGTTACAATAGCAATTGAAAAATATAAAAATACATAAGCACAATTTTTTTTTTTTAAGCATTTAAAGATCTAATTTTGACAAAATTTATCAAAATCTCGAAAATTTTCAATCATTCTAATTAATAAATTATAAAATGTTCAGTTTTTATAGCTAAGGATTTAAAATTTAAAACAAAGATTCTCATAAATAGTTCACACTGTAACCAAAAAATCTAAAAAATATATGTACACAATTATTTTTTACAAACATTTGAAATTCAAATATGGACGAAATTACATATTAAAAAACCTAGAATAACTATTTTAGTTTTTTTGTTGTGATTGAATAATATTATTCGTGGGTGCTTGAAACTTCAAAAGTGTATTATTATTATATATCTATGATAGTATCACGGTTTGTATAACGCGTTGTAAGTACCTAATGGATATTGTGATATGATTAATTTGGAATTTATTATAGGTATCTATTTTTTGTTTAATACCATATATATGTATATAATATGTCTTATACCTAGACTGACATACCGTCTCCGCTCAGAATCGTTTTTCTTATACAATGATATAATATCATTGAATTCAAATGCAATACCATCCCTTATACTTATAACCTACTGTACAACAGAGCGACACCCACTTGCCCACCTTTTTTTTGATTTATACACTCCAGATAATTTAAAAAGTGCTCTCCTGCGTCTTAATGTTATTCGTTTATCTGCCGTATGCTTCAAAAAATTTTTGGCTATGATTCCTATACACATATAATAATATTAAAACAATTACCCACATAATAATAATAAATTAATACTATTCATACATTACAAATACTGAAAAATAATTCATAATGAAATATTTTATTTATTTTATTATTGTGCCTATACACCTTTAATATACAAATTATTTCAATTTTTAATTTACTCATAGCTAATATACGATATACCAAAATATAAAAATGTGAAATGTGAAATATAAGTTTTGGTAGTATTTATTTAATTTTAATTTGAAAGCGTTGTTGTAAAAAACTCAAAATTTCTATTACCTAAATTCTAATTCATGCCATAATAATATTATAAAATTAAAATTAATTAATTAAACTCACTATAGGTACTTTTTAAATAATGTACCTGGACTTTTGGTTGTTATCTTTTTGTGAAGCTCTCGTATATAATTGCCACCTGTATTAAATGATACTACAGCAGTACAGCAGTATATATTTTAGTGGTGTACGACTGTTTTTGAGAAAAATTAATTCGTTTACCGCCTATGTGCTTATTAATGCACTATTAAACTGTTCGCAGATGTTGTTATCATTTATCAACATCAAGTAATAAACTTTTTGCATTATCAGCAACACGTCTAAGTGCAGTTGTCATTTCTTTCATCAAACCATTTTGCAATACTTCGTCGATCACAGTGGCGTCCGCAGGATTTTTCAATGGGAGGGGCTTGAAAATTAGTTACAATTTTCTTTTCATTTTGTCCAGTCTAATAATTTCAGACGTTTATTTGAGGTATTTTAAAATGTTTGTAACTTTTCAACTTTTCTGGTAGAAAAAATGCTCTGATCATAAGCTCCGATGCTCAGTGTATGTTTTTGGAAGCAAATTGGATCTAGTTGATACTATTAGGAGGTTGAAATTGAAAATGCTCAGTGCTTTTAAAAATAATTTGAGAAAAAAAAATGAAAATTTATTTAAATGTTTGGTTATACCGTCTTCACTTGGATTGTATTTGAATAATTAAATTTTTGTTTTCTATAAATGTCAATAAAATATTATTTATCCGGTCAAAAAGCTTAAAAATGTAATACGTAAGTTTTTTTATTATAGCTAAAATATTAACGATACATAGGTATCATGCTTATTTTTTTATAAGCATTTAAAGTTCAAATTTCGTCAAAACCACAGTTAATTTGTAGCTCAAAACTTATAAAATATTAAATGTGTATAGCTAAGGCTAGACAATTTAATACAAGGTCTTTCATACAAATAGTTCATACTTTTACCGAAAAATTACAGATAATTTATGAAAATTGGTATGTTACAAATACAATGTTTTTTCAAAAATGAATTAATTCTGGTAAGACATATTTGAAATTTACGTCTTGCTTACTATAGTTGAGAGTTTAACTTGATTAATATTTTTTTGAAAAAGTAATAATAATACGGGTAATGGGGGGGGGCTTTAGCCCTTAGGCCCCCCCCTGCGGACGCCACTGGTCGATCAAATTC